AGGGAAGGGAAGGGAAGGGAAGGGAAGGGAAGGGAAGGGAAGGGAAGGGAAGGGAAGGAAGAGAAGAATTAAATCTAGAACCCTAAGAGACTAATACTCTCCTTAGAAATTTAGGAAAAAAATCTTACCTCGCCTTCTATAATACCTCTGAAAACGCAGGGCAGAATCGGTTGAAACATCTGTGGACCTAATACTGGATTCACTTTAAGGGCATTTTCTACAACCTATAACCCAGAAAGACATATTTGGTGATATTCAATAGTGCAATTCATTGCTTCACACAAAACTAGGTTAGCAAACAAGGTACTAAATTATCACACATCAAACTTGACAGCACATGCAAGCTCATGGTACTCCACACTTCTATGAAGTAGTCTATTAAAATTATATTGATATATGGTATATAATATTTAGGCACAGTAATATTCTTTGCAGTCACATTTAATCATATTGTAGTAACATATAACCAGGTGTTAATATTATTCTGACCCTTGTTTTATGAACAAATACTCTTAAAATGCCACACCTAACAGACATAGCAAAAAGCATTTCAAAAGTACTGTTTTGTGGTGGTTTTGGTTTTGTTTTGCTTTGGTTTCAATATTTTTGGCTTCTCAGACAGGGTCTTGCTACATAGCCCAGGCTGACTTCACACTATCAACTGTGCTTCTGCCTCCTGAGTACTGGGATTACAGGTGTGTCATCACACCCAACAGAAACGTTAACAATGAAAAAGCCAGTTACAACACCAATACTATTAAAAATGAACCTATATTTAGGTTTAGCAAAAAACTGTGAGGAGAATGCATGTTGCATATATACTGCATCTTACTGACTCAACAGATCAGAGAAAGCTGAATTGTGCGGGGCCAAGGCAGAAAGCTAAGAAACACTCTGAGTCACATCATATATGTCTCCATTTCTCTGCCCTAAGAAGTATAGGAAATAGCTGAACCATATACCTTTAGAAAGGAGAAAGGAGAAGCTAAAAATGATATGAAAGACAATAAAGACTGAAAAGGAAGAAGAATGTCTACCGAGAAACCAAAGTGCCAGATATATACCTAAGTTTTCATATTTGGATTAATTACTCTCACCCGAAGGGAAGGAGAATATTTTCTGGAAAGAATATAAAGATAGCTTCTAAAACTAACAGATCCTTCAATGTCATATATAATAAAGTAAAATAAGTCACATTAAGCAAATCACTATAAAATTTCAGAACACAGGAAAGGAAACAACAACCTTGGAGAAGGGGTTTGGAGGAAGGAGTCAATGTGTCTCTGGAACAGAGACTTTCAAGAAAATTAACAGAACAACTGTTACGTCTAAATACATTAAGCTGAAATATGTCAAGAAATTCATTGTATAAAAATATAAAAATAATTATTAATCTCAAAAAATATAAAAGGTTATGTAGAAAAAGAGAATCATAGCTAATTACACAGCTCACTTTGAAAAGGAAAACACAGAAATCAATGCAAATACTGAATATTGATCTAATAAGAAAAATGACATAATTTAAGTGGGAAGATGGTGGTAAAAATAAGTCAAGTCACAGATATTTTCTACCATAAACTCATGAAGGAACAATACAAAAATGTTATTTGCAGATATTAAGAAATATACAAAACAATCAGCTTTAAGCAACATCACTGGTCATCCCTAAACAAAAAGAAATGTCTGGTAAGCGAATGACCAATGGCTGGCTGCAGCTTTTTTTTTTTTTTAATGTGTATGTGTGTATTGCCTGCATGTAGGTAACTGCACCCGTGTCATACAATGCCTGCAGAGGTCAGAAGAGGCTGTCGGATCCCATGGGACTGGAGTTACAGAATTGTTAGCTGCCATGTGGGTGCTGGGATTCGAACCCGGGTCTTCTGCAAGAACAGCCAGTGTTCTTAACCACTGACCCATCTCTCCAGCCCCAGCTGCAGCTTTCTAAAGAAATCTTTAGGGCTAGGTGTGGTGGTGCATGTGTTTAATCCCAGCACTTGGGGTAGGGGGAGGCAGAGGCAGAGGCAGAGGCAGGCAGATCTCAGTGAGGTCAAAGCAAGCCTGGTCACTGTAGCGAATCCAGGCCAGCAGTGACTACAGGGAGACCCTGTCTGAAAAAGACCAAAAAAAAAAAAAACAAAACCTTTTTATCTACTTCACTGTAAATCATATAAGACAAAACCCAGATTAAGCTAAAATAAAAAGAATAGAGAGAAATCACTGTAGGGTCTTTTATTTTTGAGAATTATCAGGGACTAATCTCCACATATGAATAGAGAAAGTAGTATCTGAAGAAACAAATATTTCCCTGTGTATGTCAATGAATATGACTTTTACATATAAGCCATTGAAATATATTAAGTATAATATTTTCATTTATGCATTATCTTTATATATAAAGATAATATATACAGAATCAACAAATACTTCAGAGCTAAAATGGAGTCTTTGAAGTCAAGAAGGTTAGAATCACAGGTAGAGGAGAAACAATCTTAAAATATGTAGAAAGGTGTCATTATCTGACTCTGGGCAGTGAATATGGAACAGAAGTAAGAGAAAATTTCAAAAAGACTGGAAACAATGATAGACAGCTGAATAGTGGTCCCAAGACAAAGAAGTCTTGCACTGCTCCTAGGTTCCAATATTTGGGAAAATGGATATAATTTTGGTACTAAGAAAAACTATGACACTCTGTTCTGCTCTTACATGCTGAATTTGAGATTTTTGTGGGAAAATCCCTACATGGAATAATTCTTCCATGCAATATATTATTTTCCTATAATGAAAAATTCTAGATTCTAATAACCCTGTTTCTACTACACATCTACATACAGGCATAAATTCACCACTACATGAAATACTAAAAAGCAATGCCAATATTATTAGCAGCAGTAACTCTATGTCAATTTAACTGCTCTTTTTCTTCAGGTTGTGTTATATTCCACAAGGGATAGACAGATAAAATACTATCTAATAGATTACTTGAAATATTCTTGCCAAATGACTTCCACATCAGAATAAATACAAATGTTTCAGTTGGATAACTGCCCTTAAAAAATTATTTTCCAGCCAGGCGTGGTGATGCATGCCTTTAATCCCAAAAGCAGAAGGCAGAGGCAGGTGGATCTCTGTGAGTTCAGGACCAGCCTGGTCTACATACTAAGTTCCAGGCCAGCTGGAGCTTCAGGGAGATCCTTTCTCAAAAAGACCCCCCACACCCAAAAAAAGGAAGAAGAAGAAAAGAAAAAAGAAATTCTTTTCCTTGATTTTATTTTTTAAGCTTTTATTTTTTACAGTGGGGCGGGAGAAGACTGGGACCAGCCCTTTTTTCATTTGTTTTAAATAATATAAAACATCTGTGTTAATCCAAACTCCAGCATTTATCTTTTCTTCCTCTTGATAACCACTTTTATTAATTGGGTTTATTACTTCCATCTTTCTTATTTATTCTTTACACAGAAGAAAAGATTGCACACTATAACATACTTATACTCTCAAAAATCACTCTAAAGCTATGGAGATTTCCTTCATTCACTTAGAGTGGTAAAATATTTCACTGTATGACTGAATATCCTTGCAATTATCTAATCATTTCTCAATAGTTTTTTTTAAATCAGCACTGTACTCCTTACAAATAGAATCCTTTGCATTTTAGTTTCCCCTATTCTATTTTAGAATATACCTGCAGTAGACTGACTTTAAACATTAAAAATGTAATTTTTTTATTTAATAACCACATGATTAGAAGAAGCATTTCATTACAGCTTTAACATA